GAAACATACATGCCCGAGCAGCCGTTAGGAAATGATGTCGATGTACCACATACAGGTCTTCTAGCTCTTCGAGAATCGCCTGTGAACAATAATTATTGGCGGAACTCGAGAACTTCTTGGAGCAAATATTGAAATATAACCATTTTCAACCACGCCCTCCGCTCAAGAACCTTCAATGTTGTCAGCAAGTCATTGGGATCCGGGCGTTCTCTGAATACAAAGCTGTTGTTCGGTCTCAATCCATACAACCCGACGCCAATGACACCATCTACCCTTCAGGGGTCAACACGGAAGGCTTTCGCATATTCAACCAGGATGGTCATTCTTTAAAAGCTCACTAAAAAAACAAAGTTGGAGGTGGAATAAAAACTACAGAACTCAGACCGGTTGTTGGAGGCAAGAGCATAGAATCTAGAAAGTTCACCAGCCGTTTCTTGAAAGACTCGTGGTATGGGACCCAGTAAAAAGATGGATCCCTCTCTCGTCGCATGACCCATTTGTATCGCCAGTTTTTGAGATACGCGAGGTTATGAGACTCAAGGTCCTCGAATGAGCGGGGTGCTGTAGCTTCAAAACAACGGCGCGGACTCGTAAATAGATGTTTCGGGATGCGCTCACTGTGTCTCGAATTTCGGTTATGGGCTTTCCATAGTATATCGTCGGGACTAATGGCAGGGCCTAGGTTCACCCATCTTGTTATGGTGAGAGCGACCTTGGTGTCGACTATAGCGATTTTGAGCTCAGATTCTGTGTGGCAAATACTGCAAACGGACCAATATGAGGCTGGCTTTTCGTTTTCTTTTCGAAAGTTGTCGATAATGATGGCAATATGATCAAGAAGATGCATATGCGCACATAGCCCGAACGCCCATAGCTCTAACGTCCGTACATCATTCGAATCCATCGGTTTCAGGCCTGTAATGAAATCAGCTGCGTTTTTATGAAGCAGTATATCCTGCATTCTTATATAAAGGCCGAGAGGCTCAGGGCATATCTGTGCTTCAATGGAGAATATCGAGAGTAGGCGTGGGCGACCTGATTGTTTAGGCCAGCGGTTAACTTGTGTATAACCTAGAGATTCAATATTGACCCCTGATCTTGAACCGTAGAGATATCTTTTCATCGCCAGCTTAGCCTGTAAGAATGTCATCCTGTATTGCGAATAATACCAGGAATGATGGGTCCTGAAGCTCAGATCTAGCGAATGCATCCCAGGGCCTTTTAGACACGGGAACGCCATCAGATAGGGTTTTATAAAGTATGGCCCCTGAAGTCCGAAGCTTTTGGATCCATCAAACCGATGCAAAACTTTGCACAGGGGACAAGTATAGTATTCTGGAAAGTCTCGTTCTAGCCGGTTCAAGACAGAGACCTTATCGTAGCTTGTGAGAGTGAATCTATTCATTTTTCTTTGAGATAAATCATAGAATCGGTGGTTGCACAATGAAAGGCAAGCGATATCAACGGGGGGCAGGAAGTCGAGTATCGACAGTAACAATTCAGGGGGCAGTCCAGCGAGTGTGGCCATGGGCGGGGTGACTGGCGCATCTGAGCTGACTACCTTGTGAAGGCGAAATAGTTTGAATTTGATAATATCACGTAGAGATTTCATTGAGTCGACAGCCAGGGTTAGCTTGAGTAGGTTCAGAAGGGATGTCTGATGTGGGAGAAAGAAAAGAAATCCAATAGCCTGCAGCGGTGTCATAAGTTGGAAGGAAATGTACTAAACCTAGCTGAGTAACTATTCAAGGTTGGGGCAAATCATGGATCGACCGCCCGCGGCGCCCGATACAGTTAAAACCGACGGTATTACTTCAATTAGTTTAGGATTATTTGAGGATGACTAAGTTGGTTTGGATTTCAGATAGTTTAAGAGTACACACTCCTTTTCCCCTCCAAAAGTGGACTTTCCCCTGCCAGCACCTGGTGGGTGCGTATTATCAGGTGCGCTGCGCTCTGGTTATGTGGTGTGCATTGCTGGATCGACCCGTGCTCCTCGAGGGCACTGCCAAAGGCGTTCTTCCCATTTCACTCTGTATAGACCCCCTGGAATCACCATGTGTGCAATATGGCTAAGCCCGCCCTGGCCCAATCAACCATTCAATGTTGATATCAACATATTAATAAGATGGCCCAGTCCGATGCTATCAGAATGTTTCATTGGTCACTAAATAACAATCAATCTGGGCTGTCTTGAGAAACATTCAACCCTGAACACATCGCCCTCTGTCGCATTTCGCAGAGAACTTTCAGACACTGGCCGAACAGGCCCCCCTTCCCGCCCTCGGGCAAAAAGGAAGGTCTTGACTACCTCCGCAGCCTTAACGTGAAGGACTTCGGTGACCTTGTGAGCATCACCGGGTTCTACGCTGTGATCTGCCCACGGTAAATCCGGCACATTTATATGCATTGCCTCTCTTTTCTTCGCCTCTCTTCTTTTCTCTCACACTCATTTTTCCCACATTCTTTCGGCCCCCTCCAGGGGCTACTTTTAACGAATCTCATTCTGTCAATCCAAGCAGGCAATTCGCCATGCGACCGAAACACCCGAGGTGGCCCGAACCACCCACTGCATTTCTCGAAGTCGCGAGCCCACAAGTCGGGGCGAGAACTAACTGGAGGCTTCTTAAGCCGCGCGCAAAAGCAGGAGTTGCTTTCTGAGGGTTTTGTGTGGAATTTCATGTAAAGTAATATTTGTCCTTAGCATAGCACGTCCCCATGCCCCAAGGGAGGCTAGTACTAGGCTTGAGAGCTATCGCTCTCGCCTTTCGACGTTAAATAAAATCAATCAATCAATCAATTGAGAAACATTCAAATGAACGATTGTCCCAACATTGAATGTTCTGTGACGACTAGCATTGAATACATAATACATGTCTGAACATACTAGCCGGCAACCTTCGTATATATTCAAAAACAGAGTCTCTCTTCTTTTGGGCGGCAATTTTTGTTGTAAAAGGTGTACCGAAAATTTAATCCGGCAAATGATTTGAATGACATGCAATTTTGATATTTCTTGTCCTGGAGAATATCCAAGTGGTAGGTTGTTAAGTGCTTGAATGATCGAGGTACGATGTTTTCAAAGCGATGTTGGCCCAAAATGGACTAGTTTATCTCGACATTTACCTAAAAGGGACGAGTCGGCTTTAAAGCAGCATCGGAAGGGTGACTGTTTACGGCGTCCGATGTCGAACTAGCTAGTTATATCAAAAGGTTCATCTAGCCAACGTTCTGTCATTCTTACATCAACATCCGATATGGTGTAATCCAGGGGGACAACGGAAAGACCATGATTGTGTGTGGTACTGTGGGGGATAAATCGTGGTCTTTCCGTACAGTCAATTATATGGATATAATCAGGGCTAGTGCGATATTTCTCTTTTGAGTTTAGCACGTAATTGTCCCAACTCTTCCTACGCGGCTTTTGCAAGCTCGGTGGCTGTATCATCAGCAATATTTGACTTTTGGATCTCCAGCCTGCGAATTGGTCGTACGTGACGTTCATTCCTCTGATTTGGACACGGAGTCCAATCCCAAGGTACTTGAGAATGGCTCTAGTCCTTCGGGCTCAGCTCCCAATCTAATCATGCTTCATGGCGAGAAAGACATACATGTATATAAGTGATTCCAATACTAACACCAAAATCACGACCTCTCCAGGATTCTGGGCTGTATAGAACTTATATATTAGCAGATTAAAGTAAGGTATGGAGTAGAAGGAAGAAGTCTAAAGTCTATCTAGATAAGGGTATAGCCTATAGACTGTATTAATAGCAAGATTCATCATTTCTATAACACCCGCCTTAATTGGCCTGGACTTTGGGAGGAAACAAATGATGGAGCTCGGAGTTCAAAGTGCCAGTGTGGACAATGGAGACAGTCAAAACTCGTGCCATGTTTTCATTGGTTGTTGGTCATCTAGATTATGTTTTGGACCCCGGACAGCCAACATTGAAGGATGCCGGTCAAGGGGGGTGAGGTGAACTGGCGCACATGCACAGACTTACCATTTTTCGCAAACAAGTTCTTCATCCTCTTCTTGACTTGGCCACTGGTTCTGACTCACGCTAGAAAATCTTTATTAATGAGAATGGTCACCATTCCCCTGAATGATACTCCTGACTCCTAAGAGTGCTCCGAGTACTCCTATGTAGAGGATCGTCGTCGGAACGGAGGAAAACAGTTGGATTTGGTCTCATGATGGCTGGGACTGACTCACCCCGCCGAACCATGGGTAAATCTGCCAGAAAAGGGAGTCCATCTTGATTGCGAACTCGTGAATGTCAAAATAGACCCAATCAAGACCGCTTTGGTAATCATCGACATGCAGAATATCGGTATGAACAAGGCACTCAATCCGCCTTCTGCACCCCCTATGTATAAGGCCGAAGATGCGATTATCTGATACGCTATACCAGCCGCCCGAAAGCTTGGTCTTCAGATCATCTGGCTCAACTGGGGTCTCACCGAGGATGATCTGATTGTCCCTTCACCCTGGGGCATGAAGGGGGATCTTTGACGAGCTTGCACTCTTGGGGCCCGTGAGGAAAATTGACGGTGTCCATATTAACGTTCAACATTTGGACCCCATCATTTTCAGTCGACTGGCAACATTTGAAGATTTTACATAGTCTTGACTGCATCCTGTTCTCAAGTGCTGTCCTCGTGACAGACATGAGTCTTGTATGTTTTGAACTCCCTGCGGCTCCAGAAATTCTGTCGAATAGGGCCTTCCAAGGCTGCGTGAAGCCTAATTCCAACCAGAATATCGATACTCTACTTGGATCTGTTTCATGCCGCGATCATTTTGCGCAAGCCGTCATCAAAGAACGCGGATTGCACTTATTCTGTACCCAGTAAGCCAGGTCTAGGTGCCGTGCCGTTGGAAGCAAATCACTAGTCATTAGCGAAAAGAACCAGATTTGAGAGCCCAACAAAGCCTATTCTATTCATATATGTACGAGGGCTGAAAGCATAATATTATACACAGATCAGACATATCAGTGGTGATGGTGGTGGGAGTTTTTATGTTGACGCAAATGACTTGAGTGCGGCGTGGGCGTGATCATTGCTTCCTTCACTTGATCGGGCTCGATGTTCAGTTCATCCATCATCCCCTCGAGGTCGCGCGTTGCGTAGTCCAGATAACCCTTTCCATCCTCTGTAAACAGCGGGATTGGGTTATTATAGGACTCTTCAGAGATTTCCACTTCTGCGCATTGTTAGCACCATTCGAAGATACCCATCAATTCTATAGGGATGTCACTTACTCTCAATTACCCAGGTACTGGGATCATCGGGATCTTGGGCTCGCTTGAACACAGTTGTCTGTGCCGCGAAAGTGACCTGACATCCATACCCAAGAAACTCGTCAATATTGAGTAGCACATTCCACTTTGCTCCAGTCGAGCACACGGCGTTATTGCCCGAAGGCAGATATAAATCTGGATTGCCCCAAGTATTTAGCCCGCCTACAACGTAAGCCATGCCGAACGGCGTATAGGTAATTTCGCCCGCGTAATCCAGATTATAGCTGTATATGGAGCCAGTCACGAGGTTGACTCTATACTTGCGTGGCTGACCGGGCCAAGCGCTTACAGGAGTCCAATTTTTGTCGTTCCATTTCAACCCTCTGGACGCCGGTTCTTTGAAAGTGTCGATTAGTGACTGCTAATAGTTCCTTAATGAAAAGGGGAATGTGCATGTGCTAACCGTGTCGTATAGACAGGATATCATGCTGTTGACAGTGCCCTGGTATCTCTGCTGCTCGGTGCTTACATATACGACTTCCTATACAACTTATGATTAAAACTCTATACTTTTTAGACAAAAGGGATGGAGAATTACTTACCGCACCATTACCTCCTTCCTGAGATCTAAGCGGGAAAATTGTTAGCAAGTACTCCATGTTACCAGACTGAAACTTGGACATACACATTAACTGTTTGGGACGGTTAGCCTGGTTCTCTAGACTGGGTGTTGGAGCATGTAGGTTCCCAAGGTGCGAGGTATTTTACCCCGCGGGTCACAGGACATGCCTGAGTTTTCAGCGTGCGACTAGTCCGGTTTTGGTAGTTAGATAGATAGTCAGGAAGTCAGGTCTGGAGGTATGAGTGAGAGTTTCTCTCCCCTTTTCCTTCTCTCCTTCCTTTCCTCTCCATCCCGCTTTACACAGAGAATATCATCACTGTCTTCTCCGTGCCTTTTCCTCGATCCACATTGTCCAGGGTAGACATTTTAGTGTGGCTCGAACACTGGGTTTGGTTGTCCACTCACAAGGGAACTCATCGCATGAGATACTATCGTCATAGCCCTCCATTATAGCAAAGTCAGTCGGTGCTGGAACAATCTGACGTACACCATTAATCGTCTGAGTGCTTTACCAGTTATACATTGACTGTACCTCGGTTGGCCACAGTGCAACCTTGCTCTTCGCGCACTCCTTGGCTTTAGCATAGCATACATCTTTCCGATTATTAGTTGCAATTTCATCTTCCCCTTGATAGGTAAGCTCTATTCCATTGCCCTTGACCTTGCCCGGATTTTTCAGCAGATAGTTGTAAATGTTCGCGTATATACCTGTTCATCGAACGTTAGGGTCTCTGCTAATGCTGGAGGAGTGGAATGTGTAAGGATATAGGACGAGGGGAAACGTACCTATGAATGGGACTGTTGGATCGGTTCCCATTATGAGTTGGTTCCGGTTCGCAACATCGGTTATACCGAATAGATCACAGTTATAGAAGAGAGCAGGAATGTTGTAGCACTGTTGTGCGCACTTGCTCGTTATTGTGCTTGAGTCGTCGTCGTCACTTGCCAATGTACAAGAGGAATTGCCAGCACTAACAGTAGTTGAGCATTCCACCAGTCCACCAAAACATCCAGGCCCAGTACTGTTAGCAACAAGACTGTCCACAGTGCTCCGCTTTCTAAGGGGGTCGTCACTTAAGTACGTGATGCAGGTGTTGTCTACCAGGATAATTGGATCATCGGGAGAAGCTACCTCATAGGTACTTCCCCAGTAGGCAAGATCATTGAGGAAACTGTTTATATTAGTGCATTTTGAACAGAAAGTACATCTACAATACTCACGAGACATCCGCAGAAATAAAGAATGAGTATATATAATCAGCCCAGTAGCAGAATCCAGCAGATGTGGGTCCATCGGAAGAGATGGAAGTAGATGCATTAACACCCAATGAAATGGTGTTTTCCACACCCGTTGTAACATATCCAGACATTAGATCCCCACCCAGCACAGAAATACCGAATTTGACCTGCGGCGTAAGTGTCACTACAATAATGTTAGTATCTCCGCAATATTAGGAGGGTGGAAATAAACAAACAGGCCATATTTCCTTCCACCATTAGAGAGGCATCAAAGATAGGTTCAACACTAAAGGTCTAGGGATCATCACCATTCAGATCCTCGGGTATGATAGACGCATATACGCCACCATCTTCCTGCGGGAAGTACACCTCGGCACAGGGCCATAATACAACAACACCGGCATTCAGCTCTCCAGAGATACTAAGGAATACATCCATCTTACCAGTCAGCTTAAGCTCTGGCCCAATACTAATAAGTCCTTTAATACAGAGACCGGGGAAGGTAATGCCACTAATGATGGACTATGTTCCTATAGTTGACTACCAGACAGCCTTACCACAAAAGATCAAGAGAATCTATAGCCATCAATTAGTACAAATAGGCGGAATATAAAGAAATAACATACCGCTGCTTCAGGCGCAACGGGAAAATATCCATACACAGCAATCAAAGAAGGAGTAGGGAGAATGGCTCCTTCGAAGTAATATCCATACTAGGCATTAAGGCCAAGATAGATATTCGCATCCAGATCCATAATAGCAGTAATCTAGAGATCAGGGTAGTATCCTTCAGCGTAGAAGAGCTTAATTGTTTCGTTGTATCGCATTGGGAGGTATCCTTTATCCTTCCGAGTCTTTACGATAGTAGTCATCTTAGATAACCAGGTACTAAAACTGCTAAACCAGCACTTACACTTATTAGCTGGAGTATCAGTAATATCCTTCCTATACAAAGAGTTAAAATAGTAGCAGTCTACATTAGAATTTCACTCACTTACCAGTACTTAAGAAGATTGGTGTAATCAACCCAGAAGTTAACATCTCCATCCCTCTCTATTGATGTACCGGCGAAGTCATAGTCAACAGTCAGCTTATAGGTATTAGTGGTTGAACGTAGTATAAGGTGAGAATGAGGCAACTTCCTAGTAGAGCTTATCAGAACAAGACTGATAACCCGCGCGAAGGGACCAGCTCCAATATCCTTAGGCATCCTCACAATGGTATTATTAGCACCACCCTAGAAGATTAATATACAACCACTAGTACCATTAATGAAAGTGGACGAGCACTAGATATAATAGACCTCAATCTCGTTATCAAAAGTATCGTCGCGAGTTTCAAACATGCTTCATCACTCGTGTATCTTAAGAGATCACTTATTCAGTTGTTCATCATCCATAAGGAAGCTCTACTGATCGACAAGAGACTCGTCGTATGCTTCCGGGTCACCATCAATCATGATAAATATAAATGGGTCACTGCTTTTATCATCGGTAGCTTTTTTAAAGTCAATAAATATCGAAGCCACTATATTAAAAGAATTAAATTCCTACTATTATTATTTAATATCTTCTCGACCTTGTAGTAATACATCACATGATCTTCATTAGGATACTCAAAGAGATCTGCTGGGTTGACAGGACGATTCTCAGAAGCAGAAGGAGGATCATAATAAAGTAAGTTATAAGGCACACCTTCTAAGCCAGGGAAACATTAGAAGGTGTAGCTTTCGTTTTTAAGGTAGTCGATTTCTAAGCGCCTAGTAATAAGGACTTTATTGCTCGGACAATAGTCGCATTTCTCCTATGTGCAATTTTGATATGTATCTGGGCTGATTAGTATATATCGCAAAATATGCAAAACGTTGAATGATCACAGTCTTACCTACAGAGGGACAGTAAAAACTGTAGAGATCTGAACAAAATTCACCCTCCTCGGGGTTCAAGTCTATAGAATAGAAATGTTAACACTTAAGAGATATCAAAGCGGAAATAGACAGGATAAGATCAGTCTCACTGTTTCCTCCATAAACACTTCCCCACTCATTTATCGTCCAATTAGTAGGATAAGAATCTGTGCATCCGCTCCAATAGCACTCAGTCAGTAGACTATTAGTATTACAATAAAGTGATCTCTGGTTGATAAGGCAATGAATGGACCCTATCCGATCATTATATATGTCTGCTACTAGCTTATACTTATTATTACCGCAAGTACTACTGTTTCCACTATATAGGCTATATTCATTTTCTCCCTCCCAAGTGCAACCCTTGGGCATAGCATCAGTAGGGCAACAAATCATCTAATACTGGGCATTGTCGTTAGTCTTACTGCCGGATTTACATTACTTACTGTCGGGATTCTAAAGCACAGCGCCGTCACCAGACGCAGAGTGAACATAATCCAGAACACTATATCCTGTTTTATATTGCCCCGTGTTAACGTCCACGCAGTTACTGACATAGCAATCAGCTCCAGTGTACACTGACAGTTCACTAACAAGAGACTTCTTCTAGGAATCCGATAGGGATCTGCCGTCTAGAAGATCATTTCCGTCAACAGCCTCCCCAAGAAGACCAGAAAGGGCCTGCTAATCATAGGTATCTTGATTAATAGCCCAGATCATAGCACCTCCTAAGCAGACTAAATTAGCATATTCCACCTTTTACTGGAACTTTTACGCATTATCAAACAAGACCTATTAGTTACCATTCTAGATAAGGTAGTTAATAGCTACTTCCTTGTTCTAGATGAGTTCAGATCCATTATCATCAATGATCTCTATGATTTCTAAATCCAGTTAGTAAAGTTAACAATATATACTAAGTATTATATAACAAACCTTTATAAGAGAGAATACTACTACTATCAGAACAAGCCCCCACATCTCCGGGGCCTAAGAACAGACAGCCAGGGTCTGTGTAAGAGTAATCGGACAAGGTAAATAAACAGCCATAGAAGCCCATTCCCAACATAACCTACAAGGGATCGACTTCAGCCCGCCAGAGAAGGTCGAGTGAGGTTTTAATTTCCGTCAAGTTAGTGTGCGAGCCGACCACACTTCTAATATATCTATACAGAGGTTAATAACAAATAAAAACATCAGAAGACAGTGCTAGGGAAGACTCACGGGTCATTTCCATCCCAAACACCGTACAGGTCGTAAGCCATCAGATTAGCCCAGTCAGCACCAGCTTCGAGCATTAAGGGAATATCAAAATTTTACATATACCAATAACTAGTCGGTATAGTAAACGTAATTCCGTAAGTCTCACCAGACTCGTCAAACACCTTTCTCAACTCATTAACGAGGTAAACATAGTTCACTATATCTACAGTCTTCCCTCCTCGATCAGACACAGCCGGGTACTCCCAGTCGAGATCGATCCCATCAAAACCATACTATTACAAAGTACTAAGAACCTCCTTAGCGAACCCTCTTCGCTTCTCAAAGGTAGACGCCACATCGGACTAGTATGATTGTGAATCTCCCGGATCACTAAAAGACCAACCACCAATACTCAAGTAACAGTTAAGTTAAGGATTATTCTCCTTAAGGGACACAAACTCTTCAATAAGTGAATCGACATTGTTTATTCTATTATCCATGAAGTTGATATTCCAAGAGCTATCATCGCTAAGACTTAGGCTAAATAGTACAAAGGCGTAGTTGATATGCGTCAATCCACTAACAGCTATGTTACTTAGGCGCCACTGCGCCAGGCATCATATATTCATCTACTGGACCAGGATTCATAGTATCCAACAACCCGATTAAGGATATTAATTAAGCTACACGAGGGGACAGTAGGATCTCCGCAGTTATCACCTTAACAACCATCACCATAAAAGTCATCTCCCGTTCCGCAGAATCCCCATTAAGAGCAACAGACCTAAGATATCAGCCAAGACTTATTATTACAGGTGAATGTAAATTTTACTTACATTCAGCAGGCAGCTAGCGGACGGGTCTATAGCATCGCTTCCACACTAGGCAGTGGCATTGCAGTTACTAATGTAATCAGTTTCACAAAATAAGCTGTAGCCACAGATCTAGATAGTACTTAGTGGATAATAGAGAGGTGTTAGACCTGATGGGAATGAGCTCACGCCTTAGTTATCCTTCTATTAACAACAAGCGTCGTTTACACATAGGCTGGTCGTGTTACAGTAGATTGTTTGTGATTTTGCAACTGAGGCAAACAACACAGTAAGAGGGAGAGCCCTCCAGAGCCAGGATGCTTTGATAATCATCATTGCTCCCTTCTAATGCCAGTAACATTTGAAGGTACGCACAATGAACTATCGATTGCTCGGTGAGCCCGGGCTATGTGAAGAATTTATTCCGAAGCTAGGAGCCACCACAAACAAGGTGGGTGACATTTCCGGCATTTTCTTCGGACTTGGGTCCGTATAGTGGGACCGAGTTTGGAAGTTTATCGTACCCAATCAGTTAGTGAATGAACTACCGGGGCCTCCTCGATACATGGGTGAATATCATTACGCAATATAGGAAATTAGAGTGTCGCAGATAGCAGCAATATATCCATAAAAATCAGGGAAGTGTGGTATGTAATTTTTCAGCCCACTCTCTATATGTTCTAACCGCTCTAGACATTAGGATTTTGGTCATGAATGGGTATGAGAAGTTTCAAACGGTGGCTTTCAGTTACGCTCCACTGGTGTCAATCGTTGAGATATGATTGCATAAATTTTTCAGTGTAAAATGGGCATCTTGATCGGCAAGTGCATTTCCTCATTGGGTCGGATGCTGATACAGTACGTCGAGCATGCGAGCATCGGCATGTAATTACGGTAAAAGTGAATATGTGATTTCTGTAGTTCCATTCTGCTCAGAGGCTTCGGCCACTTATAGACTGTGCGATCTGAGAGTATCGCCGTCGCTTTGCCGTATCCGCAGTGATGGCCATAAATAATCGATTTCGAGTACCGTGTTGCGCGTAAATGTTATTCCGATCTGCCGCTGTCGGCGGTGGTGCGTGGGTTCTCGTTGTTTGTTCAGGAATCAGGGTCCCAACCAAGTGAGGCGCCCCGCTAATCAAGCTAGCGAAGCTTTCACTGGTAATTCTAGTGTTCGGTTATTTAATTGAATCATTTATTATTTGGACCCCTACAATCCTTTGGACTCCTACAACCCTTTGGACCCCTACAACTCTTTGAACTCGCATGATGCCGAGATCCGTTCAACACTGGCAACACTGGCCGGGGGGAATCCCCACTTGCATCCAACCACACCCAGAACCAGATCTGTCTTGGGATCAAATCAAAGAGGAAGTTAAGGGCTGGCTACTTTTTGTGCAGGTAAAAATATTTCTAGCATTCACATCGTTTCGTGCTAACTTAAGCCAGGAAAATTGGGTGTCTGCAGTAAACGCAGGTTCCTCCGACGAGCACTATGAGTTAAACCACCGGCGGGAACTAGTAGAAAAATGGGCTTCGGCTACACAGGAATTTCGTGATGTGAGTTGACCTCGGTCTAACTCCGTGAAACCTTCAAAGTCCATTATACTAACTTTTCCCCTCCTCATGTAGGCATACCAATCACATGCACCTATAAGTCTTCCAGGCACAGAGGGGCTAGGTCTTGAATACCCAGCTAAAGCCTTAGAACGTCTCTACGAAACTTCCCAGCTAAGCGACAGCAAGACTTTGATTTGTCTCGCCCCTGTTGATGAGAAACATGCTACCAATCGGGCGCGATGGGTGAAATTCGCCATCCTATTATACAACTATGATATCGAGACTGGCCACTGTCTACTCGATGCTTATATGCCGTCGGAGGCGATCCTTAATCCAGAAACCACTACCGATCCTTCAGTGGAGGATTATCTGCCCTGGACGGACCTTGAGACCGCCAAGTTCGGGTCTATCTTTCTCACACAGACTGGTACAGTGCTCTATTGCGGTTATTACGGCCCATATATGTTGGTTGATGCACTAGGCCTGCAAAGTGGGCGTCTAACAATTGTCACCTATGAAACCAACGGGACCGTGAGAGATTCCGTTGACGTCCGCCCATTTAATATGAAATCGCCGTACTTATACGCATGTGTTAACTGGAAAAGTTTTGACAATGTCAAACATACTGATGGTGCTTATAGATACCAAAATCTGCCGTGGGTACTCTTTGACTTGACCTAATATGTCAAACTAACGAATTGATTTATAATTATAGACTTAATATGGACCTACCGATTATCGATATCCTCTGTCAAGCTAAGGACGTTAACCAGCTTCCAAAGTCAATGGCATTATGTGACCGAGAGCAGTGGATAAGTGATGTTGAGCTCTATGCCCCGGGCTACTTGGCTCTCGAGGCCGAAGGGCGCGGTGGAGAGTACCCCCTATCCAATCTCACTACACCAGCCTCCATCGAGTCAATTCAGAAGCAGGTTATGATCAATGTGCAAGACCCTAGTTTCACACACCCTGACTTCTCTTTCATCACTCCGGGTCGGTTTCCATGAATCTACTAGCTTTAAATCATGAATGATGAGAGTCGTTATCATGCCTTTCAAAGTTTGGTCAATGAGGCCTTTGTTGAATGTATCTAGTCTTCTGATATATCTCTCAGGATATAACTTATCTTATGCTACTATATTTATAGTGAAAAGAAAAAGTTAAAAGAAAAGCTCCTATTAATAGCTACTCTGAATGGAATAGGTTAAGGTGGGTATTTCTTCTGTGGCGATTCAAGTTTGGAGCTGAGAAAGAATACCCCACCAGAATTTGGAATATCTTTGATTTTTATCCCTTCAAGTTTTATCTAACTACATCTTTTAGTTATTCCTCTATCCCTTCCACCAGTTGACCTCCATCATCGTTGGCATCTGAGTTCATCACAAAGGAGAAAACCCGATTTTTCCCACCCTTAGCTCCTCCACTATTATAGGAAGGTTATCCGCAATCCCGGACCGCATCCAAATGCCAAATGATTTATTGACTGACTAGGAAATCTAGTTCTGCAGGCTTTACACATGGCTGATCAATCTTTTTTTTTCTTTCTAAGGCTTAGTTCTAACTTCTCCTCGCATCTCTTAGTTTCCTTTCCTGAGTTTCCTCTCTTCGCGTTTAATTTTGATGATAAATGAACACATATTGCTTGTCTTGTAAGTTGTTAGCCGTCACACTTATATAGTTCGAAAAAACTATATATTAACCTATATAAGTATATTACCACCGGTTTAGTCTAGCTCTTCTTAGTAATTATTCTAGGATCAAAGGAAGGATATAAGACTTATAGCCGGACTAGCGTAGTAGACCGTGGTAGCTATAATATTCCTATCCGCTTATATAACACACTATTACTTAAGTTAGAAATAGATATTCTAATCTTATCTATATATAAAAGAAATAGCTATAGTATAAATACTTAATAAGGAGTGGGTATATCAATTAATATTCACTAGACATTAATAATTATCTAGACAGTGACTATATAAGTAGGTCCTGCTTAATATATCTACCTCCTAGGGCTAGATGAGATAGGAGGGGCCTAAGACAGACTTTTATATCTAGGACTAGATCTTTACCTTAAGATTAAGTTATTCATTAAATACGCTTATAGATTAGCAGCGGGGGAAAAAGTCGCGTAGAGATTATAATAAGTCATATAGGGATAGGGGGGTGGCGGAGCTTAGGAGCTCGGTGATCCGGATCAATAGCAGAAATGCCTCATCTACAACGTGCAGGGAGATGGAAGGCGAGGAAAAGCAAAAATTGTTGTCGGTTGGGAGGGGGAACTGGGAACTAAATACCACCACACACGGAGAGGCATAAGGACACTTAACACTAACCCGAATTGGTATAGTGGCTAAAATGTTCAATATCTTCATCAATTGTCCGATATGGTGTAGTGGCTAACATCGTCGTCTCTCACACGACAGCCGGGGGTTCGATTCCCCCTATCGGAGATTTCTTTTTATTTTTTAAATATTTTACCTCCTGGACCCGAATGAGGTTGTATTGTGTAATCAATTGAGGTTACGATGCTCTCCAGAATTGCTTCTATGCCCACAAAGTAGGGAAAGCTTAGCTGCGCCTTGTCAAAAGCACACCTGGCATTTCAAGAATTTTGCTTGTACATAGGCGCACGGGTGGTCTAATCGTAGCTGTTTTTCAAATGCATTTTCTTTCGTTTGACGCTAAAAATCGCCCCATGGTCTATGGTCATTATGGCTAACTCTATTGGTGCGCTTCATCAAACAAGCTCGGGTCGGGTAGTCCGCTCAAAACTTTGTATCACCTGTCATGCCCAGGTTGAAGTAAAATTCTTCACATTTTTCGCCCAGACGGCAGATGAAATATGCGGAGCTTAATGTGTAAATATGCAAAGCTTAATGAAGCTTGGCCCGAAGCTTAGACCTAGACATCTGGATACATTAGCCGAGCCGACGTTAAACCCGGAATTGCCGGGTTCATATCAGTGCTGCGATTTTTAAGGTTGCAGCCCTACCAAAAAGATCAGGTTGGTGGTTCAAAATACATAGTAAAATGGAGAATTCGCCTCACGTCTACTCAATGCCAATCGAAAATGATGTCTTCTAAATTTAGACATGGAGGTGTCGAAAGAGCTTTAAAATGCCAAGAGAAAGAACTACATGGTTGTGTAACAGTACACCCTTTGACATGCATAAATTATTTGGAATTTGCACTGCATCCAATGGCATAAAAACAGCCATTTGGGACTGGCTTGTTGTATCGCTTTAAATGTTCATGGTCTTAAACTTGGTACTGTTTAGTTAGACTCGTCGTTCACACTCGGCTATTATACCACCCCGGAATCGCCGTTATGCTGGTGCCTGAAATTAGTGGACCTGGTGGTAGATCCAGCCCGGGGTAAAATTAAGCTGAAGGATTGGCACTAGTACAAGAACCCTTTCCTGGAAAATGAACCGAATCTGGCCAAAGCTTGTAGAAAATTGCCAGTGGTCAATTGATGGGCGAATCGAAGTTATATCCATATAACAATGAATGAAGTGAGGCACGGTGAGGGAGATAAATTGCAAACTTGAGAATTGAATATAGTATCTAATTGGCCGTGAGTAAAACAAAGAAGCAAACTTTTCTTTCCAAGGTTGTGTGGCAAGCCATCGTGGCGTTGACTTCGAATCAATAGTATGCACATGTGTATCTATGATATCAAGCCTCTCGCTTGCTTTAACCTTATATTTCGCCTTGGTACTGTCTGAAAATGCCCCACTCATACCTTCAACATTGTAGTAGTATATATGCAAGAAATTCCCAGACTAGGAAGAAGTACTGGTCAGGCTGAAGTTGTGGGCATTGCTAGGTACTCTCTCGGACGGGTCACTCTTTTGATGAACATTCTTTTCAAAACCTCATTCTTTTATACATCACGCTCTTTTTCCGTCCCAGCAGTCAGGGATGCATTGGACACAACTGCTGTTGGCATTCGGGGCCACAGCTTTTGCTCTTCCCTCAAATCAGAATGTCTGCCAATCTGAAAAACAGGTCATTAATGAAATTGAAAATGACCGAGAGGCTCGGGAATACTGCCGTAATATCGTGCTTCATATTCCAACTCACACGGCTACCGTGACGGAGACATGGACTCCACCGCCCAAGCTGGTCACGAATACTGTTTTTAGGACTAGCACTCACACTGCTTTGACCACCCACATTATCTCGCAGACAAGTACTGAACACTTCACCGACACTGTCACGGATCACCTCACTCTCTCAACCACCGATGTTGTCGATTCGACGCTGACACTGATGACCACCGACATCGTATATCAGACAGACACAGCCACCATAACCACCCTCTCCACCGCTACAATTACAAATCTTGTGACTGAGACCGACACCAATGTGGTTACCGCAACCTCTACCGCAACCTACGAGCAAGTTTATGGTCGCGATTTCCGGGGAGACCAATACGGGAATTGGCCCAACCAGGGGCCGCAGTGGCCCAATCAGCAGCAAGGCAATGTTCCCAAGCCTCTCCGTAGGCTTGGGAGCAAGGTTGTGTCAGAGATCTGCTCTTGTCTACACCTACAGACCCCAACAGTCACTCATTCAGTGACCAAGACTGCCATCAAGCCTACTGTGGGTTCTAATCTTGTTGATCAACAATAAAAATGAGGACTAAAGCTAACTTGGATTCAGATTACCTCTACTCAGACAGTTCACCGGACAGCTACTGTCACTGATACCATCCTGTCAACTCACCATGCTACGGTGGAAGTTACGAATACTGCAACTTTAGATTCAACTACTGTGATCACTGTTGTGCAAACCAGCTACTTCACCGACACTGTCACGGAGGAGTCTACTGTGGAGGTCACGGCAGATGTTACTACCCAGGTGACAGACACTGTTACTGTGACCGCCACGGACTCAGTGATTGTTTCGTCAACGGCTCTGGCTGAAGTCACCGTGACTGAATCATCCTCAAGACACGTGGTCCCTTCGTCTAGCTCTGCATTTATCGCTTCATCCACGGCCGCCAATGTGGTATCATCTTCAACCTCGGTTAGCTCAACTACCACTGCCGCATTTGTGGTTACGACAACTTCAAACTCAAATTATGGTGCTGCTACAGTTTCGTCGTTTGCTGGCCCAATTACACTCAGCTCTGCTGCAACAGCTACCATGACCCCGATTGACCCTCCTGGTGTCAACATGGGTGGCACCGGTGTTTTGACTCCCACTGGCGTCGCCCAAGTGTGGTATAACGCGGATGACAGCACCTCCGACTCGAGCTCCGCATACCCTTACGTCCGTTTGAACATGACCTTTACGGAAGATTCAATTGCCCTGGATCAGTCAATCTATATTAAAGATATTGTCTGCACTTCCTCCACTCTTTCCGGATCTTTCAACAATTCTGCTGCGTACAGTTATGCAGTGAGCTCTTGGCCGACTGATAGCGGCGTGATCTTGATCACAGCTGCGTCAGGCTGCAGTTCCAGTGGACAGAACATCTACTTCCTCTCTACTTCGATTGTCTTCACTGACTCCAGTGACTCCTTCGTTGCAACAGGTACCATTGAAGCAATTGCCGACGTCCTCGACAATGTTGGGATGGACTTTGGTGATCTTACATATGATACGGACGATAGCAGTTCGAGCTCGACCTCCTCAGATTTGGGCTGTACCTCTCCGACTTCGTCTACAATTGATGGCCTTCCCGCTATCTCCTGCGGAACAGATTTCGATGAGAACCTAGATGATGCTCTTGGATATTACTCTGTTGCGACCGAGGCTGATGCTGATGTAAGTCTCCAATATTCTCTACTATCAAATGGGGTATTTTTTTACAGTGTTAATAAAAATTCAGGCTACCTTACTGGATCTGGCTCCTGGATCATCAACTACTACAATTTCCCGAGTGATGCGTCGTAGCTTCTGGAGCAAGCTCAAGGCTGCCGTCACGAAGGTTGCAACTGTTGTTAAGTCAGTTGCTACAACGGTGGCGACCAAGGTGGCTACGGTCGCGAAGACTGTAGTCAGCACAGCCGTTTCGGCCGTGAAGACCGTGGTCAGCACTGTCGCAAGCACAGTCACAACTATTGCTAAGACAGTTGTGGCTCTTGCTACTCTGATCGTGACTGGTAACTACAGTCAAACGTTCGATATCTCGCTGGACATTGCCCCGTCCTCGTCTCTTTTGCTTACATCTCCCTGGGGTGAAGGATTCAAGTTCTATACATTGACCATGGATAAAGATGATTCTCACTTCTCGCTGGATGATACAGTCTTAGAGAAGGTCGAGGAGGAGCTTATTGGAGAAGCTGACCCCGAGCCCGGCATTGAACTCTGGTGTGTTGACTGTGGTGTCAGCGGTGAATTCAAACTCACCGGCGCGTTTTCAATCAGTGTTTCCAAGGGAATCTCAAAGGCTCAGCTCTCTTTGACTGGCAACATGTATGCTGGCTTGTTTATCGGACTTGATGCCTTTGCTGAGTACGATATTACGACTGAGCACGATCTCTTTACAGTCAGCCTGCCTGGATTCGAAATTCCTGACATTATTACCCTGGGTCCCAGTCTGTCGCTTGGTGTTTCTGCTGATCTTGATATCCAAGCTGAAGGTCAATACTTCATCGGTGCCGGGTTGATCTGGTCCGACATGAGTGCAGTTCTGGATCTTATTGACCACGCTGCGTCAACTCACTCAGGATGGACCCCTACTCACAACTACTCTGCAAGCTTCGACGGAGATGTCACTCTTACATCTACTTTGGGCATGCCGGTCACCCTGGAGTTCGGACTTAACATTTTGAGCGGAACTTACGAGAAAGAGGCGAAGTTGATTGACACCCCCGGACTCGTTGGCACTAGTAAGTCCCCCCCCCCCCTTCATCCTCAATATTATGTCAGTTACTAAAAAATATTAGTTGAGTACGATGATGATCTCTCCTATACAAATGGAGACGCAGATGTCACTCCTGCCAACGGATGCTACGGCATTACTTGGGACTTGGCTTTGGACAACACTGTCGTTCTCGACCTTTCAGACTTTGATGCTGGCACTTATACATTGGATACGTATACATTGGCAGACCTGGCTAATGGTTGTGTCGGAACAACTGTGACTTCGACTGCTACAGCAGCATCGTCGACATCTACCACATCGTCGACGTCATCTACAACAACATCAACATCTACAACAACCTCGGCCACGGCCACTGCCACCCCAACCGGACTTTCCATGGACTATTTCATTTGGGGAGACTCTGACCAGACCACCCTTGCAAAGTCCTTGTTCATGGTTAACGGGGACATCAGGATCATGCTTCCCGAACTTTTGGAGGACTTCACCAATTCCTGGTCTGGAACATCAAAATCTTCTGATACGAAGAGTATTACTATGCTCTTTGAGTATAACGGTGACATTCGCGTGTTTGTATCTTCGGAATATGCTGCTGAGATATGGTACATCTTGCCAGGTGCTGTCAGCCTGTCTCCATACACTTCTGAAGTTGTTTCATACACCAAGCCCTCAAGTGCTGAGATCACAATCGTCTCCGTTGTCTGGGGTATCGGTGTTATCGCCAATGAGACTGTATACGATGCACTTTACGAGAATGCCGCGGCCGGAACCTCGTTTGAAATATCAAACACATTCTTTGGCGAAGACACCTGGGTGGACTACGTAAAGACTGGTGTCATCTTCTACCGGGACGCTTCAGGAAACCTGCAGCACCTAAGTGGTGATGAGAGCAGCACTGTTTCTTTCCCCACCTCTGCCATGACCAAGAGAGATGTCAACATCGTTGCCTCGAAGCCGCCTCAGGCCGAGACGAAGACCAAGACAGAGCTCAAGACAATCCCTGTCAGTGTTCCGACCGTCAAGAAGCGTGCGTCGTCCAAGAATATCAGTTCCTACGGTCGTAATCTCCTCTTTGGCCGGTCCGACAATAGCACCACATCATCAAACTCTACCAGTTCCGATGATAGCACTGGAGTCGTGACTATCACCGACACCACAGGTGCCCTCTACTTGAACCCCTCTATTAACGGCACTCTGTTCGTTTCCCTCGTTAGCGACACCACGAACATCACCAGCTTGACCGGCGGATACCAGTTTGCAGCCGACACCACCGAAGGAATCATCATTGGTGATTCCGCCTCCCGTCTGCTCTACTACTTCCCCGATACAATGAGTGCAGTTGGAGCCTCGCGTCTGCGTCTTGGAGCGTGGGGTGAGATTCCCAAGACTGCCAATCTCATCAGCCTTGTTCCGATGTCCACTGGAAGTGAAGAAATTCTGGTCGCGATTGATACGCTTGGAAATTACTACTTCCCCTTCGTTTGCGGCATCCAGAATCAGCTGAACAAGGTGTTCCTCGTAGCAGATGTTGACAATGGTGCCAGCGTTCTCGAGAGCGATGATCTACTCTACACTGTCGTTGGAGGTGTTGCATCCAACTGCAATGTTTTGGCTTTGGTGGCCTCGGGCCTTTAAACGATGGATGATGGCGCCTAATGGCTGGGTTCAAACTTGAACGGTGGATTTTTACCACATTTACTTGCAAATACTGCATATTTCATTCTTTTCCTTCACTTCATATATCTGCCTCATTTTGTCTGGATAAAATTTTAATGTTACCAATAAACCATGACTTCAAGGTTTATGGGAAGATCATAACACATGCGTGTTACTTTGCCTAGCCATCTGAGTAGATCATGTCTTTGTCAATCTAAAACGAATAGAGCGAATAGAAACAGACCACAATGCGCTCAATTAGAGAAGTCAAAGCATCAGGCCAGCTTCCCAGCCATTTGATGCAGCCACAGTTTGCGATCAAATCGCTGCTTTAATAAGGTCCTTGCAGCAGGAAATAGATGGCCACAATAAACGTGAATTGTTGATTTGGAAGGTTGATAGCGTTTTAACTTCATCATCCATAGATCTTCACTGTGTCATTTTGAGTGCAGTGGGGAGGGGAGGCGGTGTTTTTTTCAAGCGCTTCCCCCGTGGTAACGTGTCTCGGTTCCTTTCGTGTATTTAGTCGTGCTTATTCTCTAGTCTCTTTCTTCTTCTTCTTATTCTTCTTCCTTATCCCCTTTTCCGCGTTACAAATCAAAGATCATCTCCTTTTCGTTTACATCTTTGGTCCTCTCTCTGTATTCGAACGCAGTCTCTTCCCTCCGAACATCTCACGATCTTTCCAATTTCCACAGTCTCGCAACAAGCTTTCATCGTGTGTCTGAATTCAAAACCGAGTCCAACAACAAGAGACGCATACCAAAAAATGCCACCGGAGCCAGATATTGAGATTCTTTCTCAAATCATGGCCCCGGAATGTGCATACTACCGAGTTCGTGTGAAGCAGAGAGTCCATTATCTCACCATTTTGTCCGGTGTATTTGACAAAGATACCATGCGTCAACCGGATCTCCTCCTCCCCAAACTCCCGGAGCTCCCCGACTCGCCCTGGACCACTATGACTATCTCGCGGGGCGGAGATGGTTCTCTCAAATCAAGAATATCTACGGATCAGCTTCCCGGGGTCAAGGGAATCTGGCATGACGTGTGCATCGACATTTTTAGCCTAAAGTGGAAGAATTGTCTCAAAAAAGATCGAGTCTATGAAGTTGAATATGAAGGTGCACCTGCAGTCGCCAAGATCGCATGCTTCGAATGGTGCTTACTCCGGATTGAGAGGGAGACGTGGGCGTACTCGAAAATAGAAAGCTACCGTCGCGAACATCCTGATGAGCCCCCCATTGCCCCGGAATTCCTCGGTCATTTGACTGAGAACGGTAGAACCATTGGTTTTCTTCTGGAAAAGGTGAATGGAAAGCCGGCCGTTGTTAATGACTTGGCCAACTGCGAGGCACTTCTTCGCAGACTGCATCGTCTGAAATTGGTTCATGGTGACCCGAATACTCACAATTTCATTGTCGATAGGGCTTCTGGAGGCAAGGTGCGCTTGATTGATTTTGAAACCGCCATGGACTTTGACGAGTACGCGGCTAGAGACGATTTGGACTTTTGCCTCGGATTTTAGCTTGATGAATAGGGCGAGAAGTAACCGTGGAATGTCTGTAACACGGTAAATGCAGTGGCAATGCACCAATGTGTAGGTTAATGCTTTTTTTGAACTCTGTCAAAAACATACCACAAACTTCCAAGTGCTCAAGTGGGGCAATTGATCCGCGTAGTAAGAACATATGATGCAGAATACTAGATGATAGGATAGTGAATCTCAACAAAGAATGATTTGATGCCTCGCTTGACGATTAGCTTCAAAGTTACTCTACAACTTTCTCATGGTCCGTGTTCCAAAATAACAACCTTGGAACGACTCATGGAATTCCAAGGTTCCCTCCCAACACCGAGCTACTTCTTTGACTAGGTGCCATGGCAGGTAGTGGTAATATGCTTGGTAAGATATCAGGTTCTAATTTACCACTTCCAGATACTACGTACTACATTTTCTAGATTGCACACCTTAGAGACAAAGGATTGAACGGCGCTAGGTCCATTCGTTATTGGCAAAGTTTCACTCTTTTTCATGACATCTATTGATTCCTAAATATATGAAGCAGTAAGGGCCGCCGGCCTAGTTTTTGCTGCTCTCGTACATTTCGTAACTTTTCAATGAGACAAAGAGCATGCTGAATACCTTTAGTATGCCCAATCATACGAAGGGTATCAATGACCCATTCAAAAAGCTCATCTGGCACACCAGTTCCCCATGCAGCCAAGGTCAATTGAAATAGAGCCATAAACACACTGTTGAGTGCTGGTGGAGGCGAGACGCTGTTGATATCCGGCTGATGAATTTTGTGGAAGATCTGGCTGCGCACGGCAATACAGATCTCGGCTGCAATCCTAGTGATAGTGGCCAGTGCTTGTTGCGATATGAGGGGCAACTCTTCAGATGCGCGCACGGTCGGTTTTGTAGTGTATGTTAAAATAATATCGTTCACCAACAAGCGGACATAGCGGTAGTTATTCAAGACGCACGATGCCCATTCATCGCGGTAGAGATGATAAAGGCCCTTGAAGGTGTATGGCATGTCCGTGGAATATTTGAGCTCATACGACCATTTCTCGGGCAATTTCTCTTCCCATGCCACTAATTCTGCTTCAATGGCTATAGCGATGTGAGCCACCTTGGCCAATGGTATGGGCGATGCGTCCATCAGGGAAGAGTATAGCTGGGCCAGCGATGCAAGAATATTCAATAAGGCGACTGCGGGTTGATCTTCAGCTTGAAAGGTTGATGGGTTCCTCCTTAGCCAGGTCGTCCAATTGAGGGAAGATGGTCCTCCCATAAAAAAATATTTGACGAACATAGAGAAATGAAAATGAAGCTGTTTTCGAGGATCCATCTGCAATGGCTCAATAGCAGGGGACATTTTGAAGCGCTGCATGACCGCTGCCGCTCCGTCTGCGTGTATAGCCCATGATGTGATGGAGCTCGCATCACAGTCAATGAATTCAAATAGCGCGAGCATCAAGATAACCTGCAAGATACCATCCAAATCCTTGTTCATGGCTGCACTTTGCACTGCTATTTGAAGGCCTTGCAGGCTTTCTCCGTACTTCTGGCGGGCAGTCTTTAGCAACACTAGTCCATGCCCGCAATTAGACGCGGCGGCCAGGCCGATAGCTACAGCGGTGCGTCGGGAGAGTTGGTTTTCCATAACTTGGCGCAAGAATGGATGCGACTTTGTCGGCTCCTGGATGCCATTTGCCGCGGGAGACGAAGTAAAATGACTAAAGAAAAATGACAACCCTTGATCATCGATATGGGGGGCTAAATATCGTTGCGTCAGTGGCAAACCCGGGGTGCGCTGAATCTGATATTCGGGCCGAGTAAGTAGATGTGCAGACGTGGCTCTTTCCCGCTGCTCTGGAGCACCCTTGGCTTTTAGTGATCTCCGTATGGTGCGGGCATTCTCATCCCGAAATAATAGCGGTAGCTCGTCGCGGTAGCCTGTGCACTGTTTGCCTGCTCGCCGACATTGGGCGCAGACCGGAACTGCCCGGTTACACTGGCACAAGTCAGGCACAAGTCAGTGACTGGCTGGGAGCTTTGTGGTATATGTCATGCGATACCTTGATACGTCTTTGACGGCATGACAAGCAAGCTTTACTAGGACGGCCGCAGAAAGGCATGATAATATCTGGACAGCGAATTTTCTTTCAGGTGCGACCAGCTAGCTTCATATGAACTAATGTGGTAGTTAGTTAGTTATTTAGTGCGAAAGTTTGACTAATCCTATTTTTATCATCCTCAAATAGGTGGCAAAAAATTACATAACATAATCAAATCCCTTTACATATACAAACATTAGAATATTTGTACTGCCAGGAAACTGTATCCATAGACTATCGTATCTTATCCCGTTAAAGCGCTGTAACATTAGTGGGGCAATGTAACAACCTTACCTAATTGGGCAACCAAATCGTGAAAGTACGTGTACTGATTGGTTTCGGCAAATGTATCTGCCCGTCACATATAGAAACTTGAAAATTAGAGACAGGGCAACGTAATCCAAGTTTTGAAAATGATATGATATGGCTAGTGTATACACAAGTATAAGGATCCCTGGCTGTCCTTGTAGACTTGCTTCCAGGCTGCGAGAATATTTTATAAATCAACCTGTCTTTTACAGACTCTTCCATTGATCTGTCTACCAACTTTGAACCCTTCGCCCGGATCAACATTCCTTATCCAACAGCATCATGACTTTTACATACCGCGATGGAATTTCACTTGCGCAGATCATCATATACTTTCCGACTTTAATCTGTGGTTACTTCTTGATCTGGAAACATGGGATTAAGGAGAGCCTAGGGTTTTTGTATCTTGTGACTTTTGCTACGCTACGAATCGTCGGAGCATGCAGTAACCTGGCCGCTATGAACGATCCTTCAATTTCGCTTTATATTGTGGTCGGTATTTGTACTGCCATTGGCCTCTCTCCCCTCATCTCTTTGTGCAACAGCTTTCTTAGTCGAGTGTAGGTAGTTGGTTTTCTCTTATGGTCGCTTGCTGTTCGGAATATGGAGGCTGACCGACCAAATCTCAATTTAGGAACAAGAATGTACAGCTCAACGGAGGAAGACCTTTGCACCGAGCCTATTTCCACACGCTTCATGTCCTCACTGTTGTCGCACTCATCATCAACATTCTCGGTTTCACATCTGACATGTCTATATCCGTCTTCGAGCACCCGTCCGCCAAGATCAAGATCGGTACCATCCTTTTTGTGGTGGCATGGTTTATACTTTGCACATTGTTTTCAATTATGTATAGCAAACGATCAGCTGTCGGGAGAGGAGAGCGGCGGGCGCTGTTCGCTGTAGGGCTTTCCTTGCCATTCCTTGCCGTTCGACTCCTCTATTCCGTCTTGATGTGGTTCTTGTCTAGCTCGACCTTCAACTTCATGGATGGCAACCCCACAGTCGAGTTGGTGATGTCTGTTCTTGAGGAGTTTGCAGTGGTTATTATCTGCACGTGGGTTGCTCTTACCTTGGAAGTGAAGAATGACCAAAGAAAGCGGGGTGAAGGTCATATTCTGTTAGGCTCGCATCAACCGGTTGAATAGATTCGGTATTCATGAAGCGACTACTTATACAGACTTGGCCTCTTCCTTTCAGAACATTCTATTGAATTTGTCCGATAAAACATTCGAATGTTAAAGTGTCTTATAATTCAATGTTCGCAACCTCGGCAAAACTGCTATAGATCGCTGGCGCGCTTCCTAATAAGGCAATTTTAGACTTGAAGAGTAGTTTACGGAGGAGATATTTGGAGAAACATTCAATGTTGAAATTTTCCCTAATGATGATCACTGACGTGACGACGTTTGTCGGGAAGAAATCTTTTGTGAAGGGAAAATATATTAGAAGGAACTTAGGGATATCGGTGAGACAAACATTGACAGCTGGAATCGACCTTGCATATCTAAGTTCCAATCATCTGCAAAATCTGCCATGTGGAACCATGCTGTGTCGGAGTGCGATCGGAGAGACTTTCGGAGGAACTGTTTTGTGGGCCAAGATCCCCTTATCCATTTTGGGTAATTATTTTCCATAAAGGGACGAGATATTGCTCCACCAGCAAATAGTATAATATTTCGCTGATTACAAGGAAACAATTTGACGGTATCATTAGCGTAAGCTACAGAAAAAAATCGCACTGCAGTGGAAAGTATTTCGCTGGTCCCGATATCCAAACATTCACCCATTTATAAGGTCACGTGGACGAAATATGCAATCAATTCTTACCAAACCCCTTATTCATCTACAAACTGTTTTCTCTGCTTTTTTCCATTATGTATTCCCAATTTCTCGACAGACAGGGCAATACAATCCCCCTATCTCAAGTGATTGGAAGCGGTGCTACCTCAGTCGTCTTACTCCAACATGGTATCGCCGTTAAAACCCCGTTAAGATGTCTGTTGAGCTCAGAGTCTGACGTCGAGGTGAACCTCATGAGCATTAAACGCGAGCAGGATGTCTATCGTCGTCTTGAAAACCCAGAGGATCCTGGCTCGAGTGGGATTGTTAAATTCATTGGATTCTTGCCCGAAGCCACGAAACTAGCCTATATGGCTAATGGAGATCTTCGATCCTACTTAGCAAACCACCGTCCTTCTTCTCAGCTTCAAATCACCTGGTTCCGTGAGATGGCTTATACACTAGGTTACATCCATGAGAGGTGTGTGCTGATTACAGATATCGCTAGTCGAAACTTTCTTCTTGACCCAAACCAATCCATCAAGTTCTGTGATTTCTCAGAAGCGTCTCTTCTTCCTCTGGACACCGATATGAGCACCGTGGATGACAATGGTTATACAACACAAGTCGATATCGGCCTCCTTGGGGCAGTCATATATGAGGTTGTGACTGGCAAAAAGTGCAAGATTGATCTCTATCAAAATAACTCTGCTGCCGATGGCCGAGCCTATTGGCCAGAAAGAAAATCTCTGCCGAGTACTGAAGATGTTTGGCTTGGTCGGATTATCGAAGGCTGCTGGAATGGTGAATTCAGCAGCGCCCAGAGCCTTCTGCAAGCTTTAAATTCAGATCACCTCTTACCATCTTCTCTCGCCCAACCGCATCCCACTGGCTGGCTGGGGTTTATCACGGATTCCTTTCAAGTGCGGCCAATCACGACCATCTGCGGTACACTGGGTCTCGTGTTTTTTATTCTCTACGCCGGCAGCAAAAGATCTCTACTGCAACGCGAAGTTCGTCTCTCTTTGTGTAAATGAATTTCTACAGGCCACTGAAAGAAGAAACTTTAACCTCAGCAAGAGCTACAGGTGCCTGGGCAGATGGCCAAAAGAATACATAGAAGACGATCTAGAATTTCAAACTGTCACGTCTTCAAACATTTGTTAGTATCAACTTATTTCATGGTTTGTGGTTGTTGCAGGTTCGTTCCAGGGTTCTCACACATGCCGCGGCATTCTACTGTAGGGGGGAAAAAAGGGACAACATTCTAAGGCATAGGGGATTCGAGGAAGGAAAGAATACTAAGTAATCACTCATGTGGGGCCGACGCTTGAATCCATGCCAGTGCAAAAAGGGGTCTGCAGAACGAAGTGTGGGGGCGCTAGACCAGAAACGGCTAAACTCCGGGTTCCGGTAATTGACAGGTCTGGCCCGTCTGGGTACCTGATTACACGCTAAAGACAAGATACGATATTAACCAGAGTTCCCGAGGTCGTCAATGCTTGCTTGACTTGTGCTCACCAATAGGGAAATTGATGCATCTTAATGATAACTCTGTTTAATAACGTAACCGGCAAGCAAGTGCATCACCCCAAAACACATACATGTAGGAAATTATAACCCCATTCCAAAGTTTCTCAACAGCCATAAGTTCAATTTTTGAATAGATTCTCAGATAGCTTCCAGGGCTGTCATTAACAATATTGAACCTTTCTCCCGACCGAGTGGATTTGGAAAGTCTTTGGAGAATACTAAGCGTGAAATCTTATGTCTGTGTTTTATGCAAATCAATAAAAAATATAAAGAAATTTTGGCGATCATGATTTAGAATCATTTAAGGAGCCCGAAAGTTTTTAGTATTACCAGAAACATATTCAATCAATGTTTGACAGCTCGACATGTAATCTTCAACTACTAGTAAACATTGAATATGTGCAATACTTTATGGTTGAGATATAAAAGGTTAGTTAACTAAATTTTGCGGGGTAATCCACTCGCTTACTGTTTACGTTGTGTCAACTTGTGTGCTAGTTTAGAAGTTAGAATACATCAAGAGTTCCTTTGGGAGTGATCCACAGGAAACCTTGAAAGCTTCATCTAATACACCATTAGGCTATACTAAAGGCTTGAAGTGAAATCATACTTTCAATTTAATATAGGTCTCCAGCCGGGATATTTGGTTGAATAAAAAAAAAAAACACGCACGTTGCAAGTTCTTGTGGATTCTCTAGTTCCCCGCCTCTTCGTCTCTCCGCTTTTTTCTTTAGCCGGCTTTTTAGCGAAATCAAGGCTAGCGTGGTAGTACTTAGCTTTTCCCAACCAGTTTGTGTAAGCAAGTATAGCCTAATAACCACATGTTGCCCCAAAAAATAGACGAGATCAGGTGCGCCGATAGTGAACTAGCGACGCGGGTGTTGGTTTAGTCTGGAGATGACAGAAAATACATGTAGCAGGCAACCGAGGTATTAAAGGGAAATCTTAGGCGAGAATGTGTTTATATAGCTTCATAATCCTCTCTTTTCCAAGATACAGTGCCAAGCAGCTTCCAGGGTTTCATCTACACAAGTTCAATTCTCATCATGCGTTCATCTCTTGCGTTAACGGCCTTGCTAGTTGGCGCTTCCCAAGGAGCACCCCATGCCTCTATCAACAATGAGAAAATTGATCTCAACACACTTGCTCAACATCGGGAAAAACTATGGTTTGGCTCAGCAGCCGATATTCCTGGAACTGCTGAAACCACTGATGCTGCTTATCTCAAAGTGCTGAAGAGCAACTTTGGTGAAGTCACGCCCGCCAACGCCATGAAGGTGCGTTCACCTAAAAACCGTTCCTCATTCAACTTGTTTCAATTAACCATTGATCGCGTCTCTAGTTTATGTATACCGAGCCAGAGCAGAACGTATTCAACTTTACCGAAGGCGACCAATTCCTAGAGGTCGCAGAGAGCTTCGGCGCCAAAGTCCGATGCCATAATCTTGTCTGGGCCAGCCAGCTGTCTGACTTCGTCACATCCACGACCTGGACGGCCGAAACCCTCACTGCTGTGATGAAGAATCACATTTTCAAGACCGTTCAGCACTTTGGTCGGCGCTGCTACTCGTGGGATGTGGTTAACGAGGCTCTCAACTCGGACGGCTCCTTCTCCTCGAGTGTCTGGTACGACACCATTGGCGATGACTACTTCTATCTCGCATATCACTATGCGCAACTGGCATTGGCAGAGATCGGCGCAGATGATGTGAAGCTGTACTACAACGACTACGGTATCGAGAACCCCGGTACCAAAGCCACTGCCGTCCTGCAGCTCGTCAATAATTTGCGGGAGCGTGGTATCCGAATTGATGGTATCGGGCTGGAATCGCACTTTATCGTGGGCGAGACTCCTTCTCTTGCCGACCAACTTGCTACAAAGCAGGCTTACATCAAGGCTAATCTCGATGTGGCTGTCACGGAACTTGATATTCGTTTCTCGGCTGCGCCGTTTTACTCGGCCGCTGGTCAGAAGCAGCAAGCGGAGGACTACTACACCAGCGTTACAAGCTGCGTAAATGCTGGTCCTCGCTGCATTGGTGTGACTGTTTGGGACTTTGACGATGCGTACTCTTGGGTTCCTGGTACCTTTGCTGGACAGGGCGGTGCCTGTTTGTTCAACGATACTCTTGAGGCGAAGCCGGCGTACTACGCTGTTGCTCAGGCTCTCGAGGGGCAAACGCTTTCAGTGTAACTTATATAATATTTTTCCGGGCGAAAGTTTATAGGCTTGAGTCATCAGGTGTGATGTTGCAAATTCATTGTATGGGAATGTGAAAAGTACCCAGAAGGTATCAAACTTGAAAGATGACATGCCATGCGTAAGCTGATTAATGAACATGAAGTCAATAATAGTAAAGGCAGGATAGGAGACTAAAGCCGGGCAAAGATTGTCCAGTAAGGTAAAGACCGGTAATGAAAAGACGAGGGCCATCAAGGAGCTAAGATAATAAAGCTCGGTGATCAGGATCAACACTGACAGTTCCCGAGTGACCTGCAAGGCTATTTCTTAGTGTTCCTTTTTCGATATTCCACAGGTTCACTGTATGATCGTCTATCCCTGGCCACTCCGGTTGCCAATGTATCATCGATGCACGTGCACAAAATGTCGTTGGCTGTATCGATTTTGTCGTTGGCTGAGGCTATCAGGGCCTGGAGGTCGTCGTCGAACTTTGCTGGTGCCGGATCCTTTGATGGCGACCGATACAACGCGTCCGCGATATAGTCGGTGCGTCCGGTGCGATGATGGACCTGCAATCGGAACTGCTGAATGTATTGCGATGCACGCACAAGTTTCAGGTTTAACTTGAAGGAATGGATAGAACGGATTGTGTCTAGACCAGCTGTACAAAGGGGAGTAAGCGATCTATACAATGAAGGAGTTCACCGTGAGTTACTTGTTAGTACTATTTGTAAATAGATGATTCGGTTATCAATAGACACAGTCACTTGGTGATTTTCAACTTACTATTATATTACCTTACTATTATATTAATTACCATACAATAATTTCAAAACATAAGCCAATATATTTAATATTTTAAATCCCCCCCTTATTAATTAAATAAAATAGATGAAAATGAAAAGAAATTATTTTTAGAGAGCTTCAAACTAGAGATATTTAATATAATTTTACTATTTGAATTTTATTTTCAAGATCTTAAAAATTTTAAATTTCAACCACATGTGCAGTCAACCAGTGCGTTGGTTGTTGATTAACAGTACTTAGAATCCTCAGGGTCAAATATAGATCTTTATTAAATATTTTAAGAAACAGTAACACATGTGCATCTCAAGTGCTGAATATTACGTTTCATGAAACATTTGAATACCAAATATCCACCATTTAATCGTAGCCAGCCGCTAAGGACCGTAGCCATTATATCCGTTTACTCATCATCAAGATAGATATCCTCAACAGTAATCAGGAATCCTTAGACTCGCGGCAGATCAGGCGCGATTGGTCCGTCAATTAAGGCCTAAGACTAAGTGGGAGCGCAATAAATGTAAGGCCTTGATGAGCATCTAGCTCGATAGCAGTTATCCTAAATACTAGTAAAGCGATTTCAAGGCTATAACCATAAAGATTTCGACCCGCTGATGTTAATACGGGTCCTAGAGTTCAAAAACTTGGGAAGAAAAAGTTACTATTTAATCTATTAAGCTCAAGAAGAAAAGACCTCACAGAGAATGATGACCATAACATAAGCTATATCTAGGGTTTCACGCTTCCTAACGCTGCAGATCGTTCCAGATGTCACTTAGAAGCGAGAAATGAAAAGAGGAAGGGTACACATATTAAGACGAAACTCCCACACAGACAGCATATCCAAGCCACAGTGATGCGCAACTGGTTCCAACGCTCGGGTTCCATATGTAGAAGTCGCTCAGTAAGATGTCATATTGATCGGCAATGGCTTGGCAACCGTCGCCAGAAACCACAGTATGCCACTTGTTGCACTTGTTGCACTTGGAAGCCTCATCCGGCATGACCTCCGCTGGCGGAGTGGTGGTTGTGCTGACTGTGGAGGTAGACGTTGACGTTGTCAAGCTCGTGGAAGTCGGAACTGACGTGGAGTTCCCTTCAACACATATTTGCTCGAATCCATCGCTGGAGAGTGCGTTCCAGACACCTTTATCACAATCACTACCTATCCAAGGATTGAGCGAGGTGACGGTAGTGACAGAGACGTTGAAAAGGGACGAAAACATCGTGCAGTTGAAAGCACCTAGGGCGAGGAAGTCAGCAACCTTGATCTCATTTTATTTTGGTTGATAATATATGTCGTCTGAAAACCTACTCTTATCGGCAGCGCGGAGCTGGATATAGCAATTGCAATCAGGTGGTTGAACACTGGTTGATGAAATTAGACTGCTATTTGCGGCAAAACAATAATCGTATGGCAGATCTTGGGAAGCTAGAAAGGCGTTAGAGCTGTTTGAAGCGATAGTACGACTAGGAATAAAACTTGCTAGTTGCTTTTCCGGAAACAATGCAGTAACTATACCCAGGTGTGAAGGTACAGTCACTGGCCGATAAGCTAGGATTCCAGCTAACAAGATCATTGACGGTGACCTCTGCAATGCTGGCCCAGATATCGCATTGTTTTAGGGTTGTCGCATTCGCGGTAGTAGAACTGAACGCGTTGTTATAGATATCGCATCCTTCGATAGTACCAGATGCTCTGGGCTCGAGGGTAGCCGTGGCAACAGAGGCCGGGGTGTATGTTGTCGAGGCAGGCTTCGTGAAAATGTATGCTGCAGTGGAGGTGACATAACTGGTATAAGTAGCGATATTTCCTACTGCTTCAACACAGTATGACGTGTTCAGCCATAGGTTTGTGCAGTTTGAATCTACTTGTGGATTGAGGAAATAGAAGTCACTCAAAGAAATGGCATACTTGAGTGAGATCATCGAACAGTCCTCTCCAGATAAGACCTAGCGAAGTATTAGGGATTAAAAAAAGTAGTACAGGCTAATTGTCATCACACACCTCATGCCACTCCGCACAATTGGTGTTGGATAGAGGTTGGGCATCAGTTGGCACTGCTACAGCAGTGGTTGCACTAGAGCCCTCGCTCACAATGGCTGTACCGGTTGGCGAGCTACGTTCGAATCAGTACTGTGAAATCAAGAGCACGCCGAATTTAGGCAGACTCCCTTACCTGGCACAAATATACCAGCCTCTCCAGGAGGCCAATCAAGATTCACTCAAACTACATAGCTCTGGCATAAGGAAGTTCTCGAGAAGAGGATTTGTCCTGCCCCGCCCTCGTTCTATATTTTCTTTTTGGTCAAATGAGTTATGATTCGTTACTGTATGCTAGCCCATTCTGGGAAAAAAGTTCAAACCGCCCCTTAGCCGCAATATCATTTGGTAAAGGCCACTTTCCCTAACGAAATAATACATACACAAAAAAAAGACACCACCACAGGCCATGCCTAAACTAGTTTGACTGCGGTGTTGACTGCGGTGAGTTGGGATCACCAGGGTGGACTTGGTCCAGAATGTCGCATGGGCGCTGACGGCTATCCAGCCACCCCTGTAGCTGCCTGATGAGCACTCCTACCACTGCCTCTTGCTCATCTGCGTGAGCCTGTGCAAGCTCGGCGGTGAGCTCTTTTACAATGCCATCATTGCGTTTCAACTCTTGCCATGCTTCATTGGCAACTTGCTTGCTGATCGACGGGGTTTGGGATTGAGATATTCCTGTATATGATAAATCAATACAATACGGGCGGGAGACAGGGCGGTGAAGTTGGAATTTGAAATTGGGTTATGGCACAAGGGTGGTACATTTCGGCCGCCGTAGCTCAGGGGTAAATACTTGCCAAGACAAAAGCGGGGTCGTGGGACCCAAAGAATCAACTTTACTTCCAAGGGAACACAACTATGCACATGTGAACAAGCATATCCATATTATCGCCAACCCCAAAAAGGCGCTACTGGGACTGTATCATCGCCATGACATACTCAGAACCAGAGACGATAGGCATTCGGGAGAAGGTTCGCCGACAATATAACCGATTTCGTCGGGATAAGTCTCGGGATTCCTCGAAACATGCCCAAGCAGCACAGTCTGTTCCAACAAAGTATATATTCCAAGCTTTCACTATAATACTATCCCATGGTTATAATTGATTGAACCTGACTAATGAGGTAGCCAGGCATGCTTCATCACCTCAACAGGTAAACCATCCCCAACATAAAGATGTCACCAGAGAGTCGATCGATACCGGGAACAATACGGCTCTTCCCACTCCCCAACTTGACTGTGATGAAGAAGACTTGAAAGCCGAGGATTTGCTTCTTGGCAATGAGATTGAAAATGGTAGTGCAACTTCAGACGTTTGGAGTGCAGCATACCGTGAAGCAGTTGAGAGTCTTGGGGAGGATATTACCGCCGCCCTGGCCGGAAAGAATGCCTCCCAGTTGTTTATGGATCTGGAAAAGATCGAACTCGACAAAACTCACGAATCTGCTTTTTTGAGGGGCGTCAAGCGTTTACATTCCTTGAAGTTACCACTTGAAAATCTCAAGCTAGCATTGGATCTCGCAAGTCCACTTGCAAATCTTGAAACAACTGCATTCACAGTGTGCGGCGTAGCCAGAAGTGTCACAGCGGTATTTTCAGCTCATGAACATCAAGCCTAGCAAAATACTGATATCAGAACAGATTGCTATTACATTTGCCAATGCCGATTTGGAATTCGCGAAACAAATTGCGGACATGTTAAAACGGATCTCTTTCATCGATGAGTGTGACACGCTGGGCCGGAAAGTTGGTAGAAAAGATATTCACAAGGTGAGCCCTTTTTCGTTTACTTTGTATCATTTAAAAATTATCTAATGTTCTTCAGGCGCTCGTATCTGTGTATCGAAAAATGCTAGAATTCTACGACGCTGCCCTCACAATACTGAAGAGGAAAGGGGCCAAATTGGTATTGAAAATGGTTCTGGAGAACGATCGCCTTCCAAGTATCGTCCGAGAATTCTAGACAAGTGCCGATGAACTCCAAAAAGTTATACAAAAAGCGACGATCGACATACTGGAGGATATACGAAAGATGCTGTATGCCCAGGAATGTGAGTATTTGTGCACCGAAGAGTTTGCGTATAATCTTAACAGTTTCTAGTTGGTCAATGGCTCGGACTTGAGAAACTCAGCCGTCAAAGTCAATTTCGGGCTGAGTTGCAGGGGCTTCGGGCCAACGAGGCTTGCAAATTCTTACTGAAAAGTTACAACTTCAACCGTTGGTACTGTACATCGGAGTCTCAGCAATTGGTTATCCTTGGTGATATGGGCCATGGAAAAACCTTTGCAATGACATTCGTTGCAGATGAGCTAAGTCAAAGAAACAAATTTTTGTTACCTCGACCCGCACTATGCCAGTACTATTGTCGGGATGACGAGACAGGGAAGCTCACTGCTATACTATCTGCTCTGGTTTATTCACTCCTGAATCAACTAGAAGGCCTGCAGAAGCCGTTTTTTGAGAGCTATAAGCAGGCTCAGATGTCCGATTTTGATCCAGCGTCAAACACCCAGACCATGAAAGCACTTCTGCAAAATATGCTAAACATGATTGATCGTCCAGTTATTTTCGTTATTGACGGCATAGATGAGTGCGACGATGAATCTAGGTCTAGCCTACTCGAGTTCCTGAATTCTGCATCACAAATGACTTCGGGACTCAAAACCATTATATCTACTCGTCCTCGAGAAAGTATCTTGGAACAGCTGAGCCATGTGAACAAGATTAAACTGGGTTGTGATCCTGAACGAGATCTTATCATTGTTGAAAAATCCCTTGAAAGACTGCCACATCTATCATCAGATGTTAAAGCACTGGTCAGAGAAAAGCTGTCCCAACAAGCACAAGGAAGCGCCATCTGGACAAAAATGATCATTGAACTCATCAAAGCTCGTCGAATAGCGGCGAAGCCTGCGATGGAGCGCTTTCTGATGGAAATTCCTTTCCCTGAAAAGCTTTCGGATGTTTACATGTCATTATTTTCACGTTGCACTTCAGACGATCCAGAAAATCGGCGTCTTGCCGCTGCGGCTTTGAAAATCCTCGCTACCAGCCACCGACCTTTGAGCATACTAGAGTTGGCCTGGGCAGTGGCATTGAGCCTGGCTGAGAACGTCACAACAGTGGAATTTCTTGGTAGCCTAGTAGACCATCAAAGAGTCATGGAACTTATCTATCCATTCATTGCTTCCCTGGACCACAACAAACTAGGATTGCCCCAAGTTCGACTTACACACCAGTCTGTAAGGGAGTGGATCTTCAAAGACTTCGATTCAAAAATTCCAGGCTCGAAAGAAACTGATCAGATGAATCATAAATCTGAAAACCCGAACTCACTTATGCTCAACATTTGCATTAAATATTTGCTCTTGGAAGAAATCGGCAATACGCATATCTTCTCCGAAGATCAAGCAGCACTCCAAGAGCTACCTCCATGTCCTACATTATTCAGCGACGAGGAAGATTCGATCCAATATGATGGAAACTGTACTTGGGAATCCTGGGAAGACGATATGGTTCGGTTTGACCCGGTTGAACGTGGCTTTGGAGAATTATTCGTCTACGCATCATGCCATTGGCTAGATCATTTTAGTCGCATCACGGTCGAGTCTCTTCCAAGCCTAGCAATTATCGAGAATGTCTGTGAAGCGGGATCTATTCGTCTAAGCAATTGGGTTGAACAAAATCGTCGACCGGCTTGCGCAATGTTGCCCAGGTTTGAGTTTGACTACAGACTTTTTGACCCTCTGAGCATCACTTTGGTCTATGGCTCAGTGGCTGCGATGCATGATATGCTTGGAAAGACAAACCTGGACAGCAATAGATATCTTGAAGGATCTGTGATGAAAGCCGCCGACCAGATTCTTCAGTGGGGAGACATATCAAGACTTAGGACATTATTCTTGGATGAGCGCGCTGGTCCGCAGCTTCAAAATCTTGACCTCTTCCGAATTGTCATTACGAGGTGGCAAAAGTCCCAACGTACTATCAAGCCATCAAGCACAGAAGGGCAGAATTGGGACATTGTTTTTGACCTTGTCTATGATTTGTTAGATAAGCTTATTGAGGAACACTGGGGAAACGAACTCTTATGTTTGGCTGCCGGCGCAGGCTGTATAGCCCTAGTACAGCGTTTGCTAACTAGCACCCAGAACAATGCAGAGCTCAGGAAAGAATTGTTCCGTGGAAATTCATCATTTGACAAATCAACGCATCAATCAATCGGACGTGCGGTTTTGGGAAATCATATCGACACCGTGCGCTACCTACTGAGCGACAATGACATTGAAACGCACCTTCGATACCGAAACTCTCTCGGAGAAAACGTTCTACATCTAGCATCAAGACTATGCAACCCAGAGATGTTCCGTCTTTTGGTTCCCCGCTTCCAAGAAGGCGTCATTGAAGAAGATGATCAAGGAGACACCCCTCTAGCACGAATCATCATGAGCCCAGCGGCTTCGGCTTCGCGTTATGAGTCCGCGGCTGTGTTTCTTACGCAAATCAGCGCTGACTGGAATAGTCGCTCTTTAGGTTGTCAAGGAAAGGCTTTGCAATTGGCTGTGTCGGTTTATGATCTAGATATTTGTTCCATTTTGATATGGATTGGCAACATCGATCCTATGTCGGCCTTGGCTTGTCGCACTGACAGCCAAGTGGATTTGCAAGATATGGAACGTGAGAATGAGAATGGTTTACTGGGTATTTTGGTTGGCCTTTTTCTTTGCGGGGTTGAGGGGGACTATTCAGAGCAGTTGGTTTGGTCGGTAAGAGAGACTATTCAACATCTAGCCCAACTATATTACACTAGGTATCATTACCTGTGCCTCGGGCACAGTCTTTAGTTATGTGATTTCATATGAATCAGGGATTTAAAAGTAAACAAATTCATTCACATTCTTTCATCTACCTCATAGCTCCTACAAACTCTAAAAACTCTACAAACTCAAGGCAATCTGTCCAATCACCCTCGACTCCCAAGAACTCATTATCCTTATTAGTAATGATGAAAATGAAGAAGATTGAAGATGCAAGGAGTTTGGTGTGCTCATTCATGCACTCCTGAGTCCTGGATCTTTGTGCTCCTCTGTAGCCCGCCGCGGCTATTCAGTCCCAACTTCCTACAGTCTTCTGGGTCCCGCAAAACTATGGCGCCGCGGGCTCCTATTCGTGATTCATATGATGATCATGGAATCATTGATTTATCTATAATCTATGGCGCTCCGCAAATAATACGAGTAAGTACGATAATCAGGTTTCACTAGGTCTGAGCAAGTTTGAAGTATTGCAAACTATATTTAAAACATTGAAAGTTCAACCACCCAAGAGTTGCCGCAGATAATAAACATTTATTACATATCAACACTGAAACAATACATTCCATGGCCTCCATATGTATAACATACAACCACCCAAGACTTTGCCAAATCATGATTAATGTTCTCTTCAAACTGCAGGCATAATACATTTCAGGTAGCCTTTCACCCAGATCTGGCGAACTGGGACCTCTCCCTTATCCATAATTGGGACATCGATATCCCTCGAAAGGAGGTTGGCGAGGCGAGTCATTTCCCCGGGCCCAGAACTCTTAAAAGTCTCGTTCTCAAGAGCTTGGGACAAACCAGTTCTAACTAAGCATCCGTCGGTTGTCTTTATTAAGTCCCTTGGTGTAATCCTATATAAAGTAATAGTAAATTTGTATGTATAATAGTATATCTTTCCTTTATCTCCCCAAATTCTTCGGCACTCCTCTATTAACAGTAAGTAAAGAGGGATAAAGCATAATATATTTGTTAAAGTAGTGATAGGTAATATAGTTTGATCTATAGAAGGTTAGAATCAACTCTAAAGGCTACTAGTAATTTTTTGTCCCCCTCCGATATGGTGTAATCCAGGGGGACAGCGGAAAGACTATGGTTCTGCGTGGTGCTATGAGGGATAACCGTGGTGTTTCCGTATAGTCGATTTTGTGGATCTAATTAGGACTAGTGTCGGAACAGTGCTACATGTCTAGATAGGTTTAGCGCGTGATTCTCGACCCTTCCTACATAATCCCGGCGGCTTTATCAATAGCAATTGATTGCCAAATTTAGATATCCGCTGGAAATTGACTTTACCTCGCTTTGTTTAAGTAGCGTGAACTCCCCATTCACTCATATGGCAATCAAGCTCTGCCCTTTACTTTTAGCCTACCACAATCAAAATAGCCCCCCAAAGGTCAGAGAAGTAGATAAGAGACTAGAATATGTTTCTCCTCTAGCCGGATCTAAAAGTCATGACTAACAAAGTCGGATTAATAAAGGAACAGATAAAGGGAATTCATTATAACTTTTAGAAGTATTATACTTTTACCTAATCTATATATATACTTTAGCTAACTAAAGAATATAGATAGGTATAAGAACTTCTAAATAAATATTATAAATATTAGCTTAAAAATATTACCCTAAGGGCTATCTAAGGCTTCTTTAAATAGTATCTAGATAAGTATAATATAAACTATAGGTCTAGCTTTATAATAATTATATACTTTTTTAGAATATACTAGATAGATAAAAGGGATATTTACCTTCCTTACTAATTTAGGAAAGATATTTCTTTAGTATAATTTTTATAATCTAATTACTAATTAATTAGACTTCCTTCTAACTTAATAAGCTAGTATAATTAATAGCTATAGAATATAAGCTTAATAAGACTACTAAGGAATAATTATTATTTAGTATTAATAAGGTATTTATTATTATATATTATTTAGTGGTTATTTATAATATAGTATTTCTTATATTCTAGGTTCTTTTCTAATTAAATATACTCTAGAAAATAATAGTATCTATTTTAGCCTAATCTAGGACTCTTATATTATCTTCCTATTATAAGGAGGAAAATAATATACTAAAATAGAAAGATATTAATCTTTATATAATAAAATACCCTAAATATTCTAATACCTAAGTTCTTCTTATAAGGGCTAGATATAAGCTTAATAAAGAAAAAAGAAATTAAGGGGCTCTATAAGTTCTGGTCTTATATAATTATTTATAATTCTTTCTAATTATTATTAGGCTTATATTTATTTATACTAAAAGAAATAATAATCTTAGGCTTTATATTATTTAGGATATACTTATATATACCTTTCTTAATAATATATTTATAAGCTAATATATTAAATACCCTTAAGATATTTAGTATTTTATAACTATTCTAGATTATTACTATAGTATACCTATTTATTTTAAGGATAGTATAAAAAATATTCTTATTTTTAGGTATACTATAAAAATAAAACTTAAGGCTTAGACTATTAACTATAAAGTCAGCTTTTTATATACTTAGGTATAGGAATATAAAAAAAAAGCTAGTATATAGGTTGGGTTCCTAGATGAGGGATTACTCTATAAATACTAGAAAGATATAGCTAAAAACTTAAGTATATCTAGAGAAATCTAGAGTAAATAAAAACTATACTAATAAAATAGGGAACCTTAATAAGTACTCCTATAATATAATTATGGGTTATTAAAAAAGTGTAACTTTCTTGAATTATATATCTATCTTTAATAATACTTAATTAATTTTTATATAAACTCTAATTAAGGATTCTTTATTAAATCTTATATACTATAGAAATCTAATATAAGATATATTAGTACTATTTTACCTAAATACTAAGTAAAAAGAGTCTATTAAAATAGATACTAAGCTCTAAGACTTTAAAAAGATAGCTAAGTTAACTAAAGATAAACTTATATTAGAATTTTATAAATTAAGTAAAGTGTTATATAATACTCTATGATCATAGTAAGTATTATTTGTTAGGGCTTCTACTTACTAAGTAGATACTTAATCCTTAAGTTATTAATTTATAATTATACTATTATTAATTAACATTAGGCCTTATATAGGCTTAGGTCTATAGAATAGACTTAATAGGGGGTTCTATATCTAAGAGGGTATTACCTAGTTAAGCTATACTTAGGTACTAAGTTAAGGGACTAGAGACTAAGGATACCTCTCCTAGTAGGGGTTTATCTTATACAAAACTAATAGGTAAATAAACTATTAGGTTCTAAATAATAATATATAGATTAATTATAAAGAACTAAGTATATATAGATAATAACTATCTTTATATACTAAGTCCTTTCTATCTATTATCTAGGTCCTATTCTATTACTAAGATAAGATCCTATCCTACTACTAAGGTAGGTTGGTACCTAATTATTAAGGGTTATACCTTATATAATTATATTAAATATACTATATTATTATAGTAGAGTAATAGCTAATATACTAAGGTAGCCCTAACTAACTCCCTATATACTAGATTTATTTTACTTAGGTAGTGACTAAATATGGTATAATTAAAGGGAGTAAAGGTTTATTATATAGAGTAACCTAGGTATTGGACTTCCTATCCTAATTTATTCTACTAACTACTTACTTAGTCCTAGCTTAGTAAGCCTTAACTAATTATATATCTTATAGCTTATTTTATACTTCCTAGGAATGGTTGGTTCTTATCTCTTTTCTAAGGTTTTAATTAAGTAGGTCTATAATATTACCCCCTTTTTTCTTAGTCTTTATTCTTAAAGATTCCTTAATAATTACTACCTCTCTTAGGTAAGTATAATACTTAAATATTTTTCTGATTTTTCTTCTCCCTATATTTTTCTAATTATATCTCCTTTTAGTATTTCTAGTTATAAACTTTATTAATTAATTAAATATAAGGGTTTTAAATTCCTTATTCCTTATCTTTACTATATTACTTAAAATAAATCTTATATTTAATCTAATTACTCCTACTATTATATAGCCTATAATTAGGCTAGTAGTTCTATAAAGTATAAAATACCTAAGGAGGCTTTTACTAATACTAAGTAGTAATAATTATTTAAATCTTAGTCTTTACTTAAAGATAAGGAGGAAGCTATCCTAGTTACTTAGTAGGAAATACTAGCTAAGCTAACTTATTTATATAAATAAAAGAAGTTATTAAAGAAATATATAGATAATTTTATTATATATAAATATTAAGATATTACTAAGTTAGAAGAATTTAAGTATTATAAAAAGGATAAACTAGATTAGCTTAAAAAAGAGTATATTAATACTAATTATTCTAAAAATAAATATAAAATTAAGACTACTCTAGCTATTAGAGAGTATTCTAGTCTTACTTATATTAAGGATATTTAGCTTCTTATAGTTATATTAAAGGATTCTACTCTAATATAGATAATTATATTTATAGACTAGAGTAGTATTAATTTTAATTCTTTCTTTACTATTATCCCTTAGGGGTCCTCTTTACCTTCTAATAATATTATTAAACTAGTTAGTGGTAGCCCTTTAAATTCTTAATTAGTTCCTATATGTTTTTTTTAATAAGGTACTCTTACTATTTTATTAGGAGTTATTACTAACTATTTTTTTATTAGTCTATTAGGATTTCTTCTATTTTATATTCTTATTTATTAATATCCTTAATTTTAATATTAATAGTAATTAGTATATTCTCTAGTATT